GCTGTAATATATTTAATTAATGATTATTATCTTATTTATATTAATAGAATATATTTTTACAAAAGCTGAAATCATATTGTGATATTGGTCTTAAAGACCTGACTTTTTTAAAATGCTTGGGCTTATCAAAAGATGATAGTTCTAAAGATTATATTCTTGTTATAGAATATGCAAAAATGGGTTCTTTACGTAAAAATCTTTATTATGTTTCACAAATAGAATGGAAAAAGAAATTGTCTCTATTATGTTGCATTGCCTCAGATCATAAAATAATTCATTCCCACAAACTTATTCATCGAGATTTACATAGTGGAAAAATATTATTAGAAAATTTTCAAAGTGAATATATTGCCGATTTGGGACTTTAAAAATTAGTTAATATAGGGTCATCTGACAAAATATGTGAAATAATGCCTTATATTGCGCCTGAAGTATTATATCTTTTCGGGTTTTCCAACATATCATGATATATCGCATGATATTCATCTTTCCCAAAATATTTATCATGGTCTACGTCCAAAAATCCCAGCTCATGTACCAGAATTAGTTAATAAGCTTATTGCTAAATGTTGGAATGCTCAGACAGACGAAAGGCCAACTTCCGAAGAAATATATAACATTTTAAATAAATGGCGCAATGACGGTTCAATTTATGAATCAGCTGATTTTATTGCACAAATAAAGGTGGCCGATACAGTATCCCCTTATCTTAAAATGCATACCGAAGCAATTTATATTAGCAGACGATTTAATACTCTAATTATTTCTGATTCTGATAAACAGTCCAAATATCCAGGTAAATATTGCATTTATATTACTGCTGAATTATTTTTATTTGTTACTTTCCTGATAACATTTTACTATAATTATCTAAGGATAATCAAGATGAGCAGAGAAACAGCGAAAGTCTATTAATAGCGATCAATTCTGAAAATGATAGATTTAAAGAGCCTACTCATGATTTTGTTGTTTTAGAACGTTCAGAAAGAATAATTGAACTTAATAATTGTAATGACCATGTGTTTGGAGCCAAAAATGAAAAATATAAAGGTTCTATCTGTCCAAAATTGGTAGATACAGCGGATGCAAGTAAAATTTTTATTACAAAAGAATTGGATTTGAAAAGGATGAGCATAAGTCATTCAGTTATTTTCAAAAATCTGCTGATATGGGTTATGAGGAAGGTATTTTCAAAATTGGACATTGTTATCATTATGGAATTGGAGTTGAAAAGAATGAATATACGGCGTTCGATTACTATCAAAAATCTGCCAATATTGGAAATTCTAATGGAGTACTTATGGTAGGACATTGCTATCAAGATGGAATTGGAGTTAAAAAGGACGAAAATCAGGCATTTAATTACTATCAAAAATCCGTCAATATTGGTGATTCTAAGGGTATGCTCATGGTTGGTTGTTGTTACCAATATGGAATAGGAGTCAAAAAAGACAATTATAAATCATTTGTTTATTATAAAAAATCAGCTGAATTGGAGAACCTGGTTGGAATATTTAATCTCTCTGGTTGTTATTTAAACGGATTTGGAGTTGAAAAGGATGAACATAAAGCATTTGTTTATTATCAAAAGTCCGCTAAAATGGGTGATAATGATGGAATATTTAATGTTGGTTATTGTTGTCAAAATGGGATTGAAATTAAGAAAGATGCGCATAAGGTATTTACATATTATCAATAATCAGCTAATATGGGTCATGCTGGCGAACGTACAATGCTGGTTGTTGTTATGAAGAAGGAAATGGTGTTGAAAAAAATGAAAATAAAGCATTCATTGATTATCAAAGATTTGCAGATATGGGCTATGCTGATGATGCATATAATGTTGGGTACTGTTATGAAAAAAGAATTGGAGTTGAAAAAGATGAATATAAGGCATTCAACTATTATAAAAAATCTGCTGAAATGGGTAGTTCTGAAGGAATAATTGCACTGAGCAAATATATCGATTTTTGAGTTGATAAAAATGAAACATAAGACTCATATATTGGTAAAATCGCAAAAAATGTGTCATGCTAATTGAAATATATATATAATAAACTCAATTAGCCAATTAGATTTGATTTGTTGTTTATTTTCTTATGTAAATTGCGTATGAGCAATATTCAAGCGAATCTTTTAGAATTTTGTTTTTATTTTTTTAATAAAATTTAAATTCGACTGTAATTTCATTCTAAAGACCCTCTATCGAATCATTCGAAAGTTTAGCATCTAATTTTTAGTTATAAAGGCCCTACATCTGGTTAATTGTCGATATTGTTAATTGCGTTATAATCAAGAAGATTAATACTGTTACACAAAATTTTAAAATACCATATATAGCTTGATTTACTTAGTTAACAGCCCCGAGTCGCATTGAAACCAACTCACATTGGATCGTTGTACCTTACACATGTTGTATTGCTTGGACAGCAAAATACGTTTTTATCTTTGTGCAATTTATGACAAATAAATGTCGGCAATAAATATTGGATAAACATGTGTGTTAACACAATTCTTTATAAAGGCATATTAACATTAAATAATGATCAACTCTGTATATTAAATGAGCATATCAGATTTTATAAAAAAAAAGATTTGTTAATTAGATAATTAAAATTTCGTGCGCTTTCGTACTCAATTATAATCATACTAATTATAATCATACTTAATTATAATCATACTTAATTATTATCATACTTAATAATAATCATGGCTACTGCTACAAAAGAAGTTTTTGATGCTGCTGCTGATATATTGGCCGTTTACATTCCTGTTATTGGCGCAGTGAAACAACTAGTTGGAGAAATTTATCAAATTTACGAGAATGCAGAATGTAATAAGGAACTTTGTTTGATTATGGTTGATCGAGTAAAGGCAGCAGAATCTTCTATGGATAGGATAGTTAGAAGCGTAGATAAGAATAAGGAAGATTTTCGTGAAAAATCATATTATAGAGCATTTGAAAGATTTAAAAATATTTTAACACAAATAAAAGAATATACTAAGAGCGTATCAAAGCTTAAAGGTTATAAAAAATTTCTTCATGCAACCGATGTTAAAAATAAATTTGATCAATTAAGAAAAGATTTTGATAATTGTATGGCTGATCTGCACTTTGCTATCGATGTTGCTACCGCAATTGACGAATCTGAAAGAGTTGATAACGCTTTAAAAGAAGTTGATGAAGTAGGTTTATTACTGTAGAAGCATGATAACCTTATTACAGTATATTAATTTTAAACTTTTTATGATTATCAATTTTTAGTCCCTTAAACAACTTGACATTAAACTTGATGAAGTAAGTTTAATTATTATATCCTTATTATATTTGAATTTACCATTTTTTATGATTGTCCATTTTATAGTCCTTGAAACAAGTTGGGAATAAATTTGAAGACGTAAGTTCTGTCATTCAGAAATATAACAACCTTATTATAGCAAATTTAAATTTTATGATTATCCATTTAGTCTTACAAACAAGTCGGAGATAAACTTGAAGGAGTAAGTTTAGTTGTTCAGAAATATAACAATCTTATTATGCCAAATTTAATCTTTATTATCCAATTTAGTCCTTTAAGCACGTTGATGATAAAATTGATGCATTAGCTCAACGTATAGACCTTATGCAAACGACTAAGAAAGGTGGTGCGAATAAGATTGATCCAAGTGAAATAAGTGACCCTACGACTCAAACACAAAGAGGCAGAGTCTTTAAAATGATGTATAAAACAATGATAGAAATTGCATGTAAGCCTATTGATGGTCAAAATGAAAGCGAATTGGCGATCATTCGCAAATTAGGTCTATCACCTCAAATTATCAAGTTTTATGGTCAAGCCGAAATTAATAATTCTAAAGTCATAATTTTTGAATGGGCCGAGCGAGGAAATTTAAGAGAGCTTTATAACAAGTATGACATCCCTTGGACTAGAAAAATACAAATTGCCAAAGAAATACTTTTTGGTCTTCTATTTTTGCGTACTGTAAATGTTTTCCATCACGATGTTAGGTGCGAAAATATTTTTGTAAGCATAATTAAACTATATTTACAGTAGTGCTTCTAAAAATGAAAAACAATTACTAATATTAAATTATAGGTACTAGGTGATTTGAGCGTAAAACTCGGAAATTTCGGATGTGCGCGTGAAGTAGATGCTAATTCTAGAAATCTTTCACAATTAGCAACATACATTGTTCGTTGGATGGCTCCTGAGTTAATCAAAAAATATGTTAGTTATGGTAACTATGAAAACAAAAGAGTATATACATTTAATTGTGAAATGTTCAGGTAGTTATATGGATATTATATGTATTTGGCCCGCATTTACTTATTTTCTATCTTTTCTAATCATTCTTCTTCACGATTAGTTATGGAATGCTCTTATGGGAACTTTGTTATGAAAAGTTGCCTTATGCTAATTGGAATATTAAACAAATAGCTGATCATGTTTTGAATGGTAAACGAGAAAAAATCTTAAAAGGAAAATTTAAGAATCCTAATGATAACAAAATTCAATTAAAATTCATTAATATTATCCAAGATGGTAATTCTATCAAGATTTTTTTATTTATTTTTATTGATTATTAATTATTTATCATAATTTACCCTAATTTATAAAAAGCATGGTGTCATCAACCTGAATTACGAATAACTATTCCCACTCTAAGGCAAAAGCTTGAAAAATTAGCCAGAAATTATCCAATTCCTGATGATGCGCCACCGCTTTTAAAAAACAAAGTATTAGATCTTGATGGACTAAAATATGAAGAAATTTTGCCACAAATTGACGATAATCCTGAAATTTTAGATGAAGATATTCCTGACGAAGTTGCCGTTATACAACTTAGCGATGGTATAAAGATGCATAAAGAGAAGAAATATCAGAATGCATGGGAATGTTTCAAACAAAATGCTGAACTTGATAACCCAGTAGCAAAATTCTGGTTAGGGTATTATTTACTTTACGGGTATAATGGTGAAAAGGATCCAATTCAAGCCAGAAAATTTTTCAAAGAAGCTGCCGATGAAAATAATCATTCTGAATCACAATGTAGATATGCAGTGTCATTGCTTGGTGATCTTAACAAAGAGAGTAATGAGACTACAAAAGATGAACTACGCAAGGAAATAGTTCGTTATTTTGCATTAGCAGCTGACAATCTTGATAATCGAAATACTGATGCAATGTATTATTTGGGTGATATTTACTATTCTGGAAAACTTAGAGTAAAGAAGGATGAAGAACGTGGGCTAAATTATTTGCGATTTGCTGCCGAGGGTAAGAATGAAAGAGCAATTGCACTATTAAAGAAGTTAGGTAAACCGATTTATGTAGAATAAATAGTTCATATTTGAAAAAATTCTTTTAAGTATTCCCCTTGCTTGTATTTTAAGTTGTAACATTATTTTATTTTATATAAAAATTTTGTTATTTAAACCTAAATTATAATTTGCATGTCAAAGGACAAAAATTTATCTTTTCACTCGTAAATTATTCGATATCAGTCTCATGATTTGTTGCATCTAAATTTTTATCATGATTTTCACCTACAAATCCATGAAAAGTTTCACATAAATCTTAGTTCCAATACATGGTATTACGTTGTGCTGAGGTTTTCACAAATAAAATGGCAAAAAATGAACTTCTTTCTTCAAAATATCACATCTTGAATATACGCATTACATTGTCTATTTTTGGTGGATTGAATTTTATTGTATCTGTCCCGGTTTTCTACCTACTGTAGTCAGCAATATCATTAGATCTGGAAATCTGAAATCTAAATTAAAAACTATAAATGTAAAATTTTCTAAAAATGATAATTTTTTTTTTTATATTATCAATTAGAGTAGCACATGTGGGCGCTTCGCCGCCCAATTTTCTATTGTGAGTTATTGTAAAAATTCTGTTACAGAACTTGCATTCTAGTGATTCATACTATATAGTTGGTTTATGTTGAATTATTGTTGATTTCCATCGTGAATTTGTGTCAAAGTTACTATTCCAGTTGATCAGCTATTTGTTTAATATTCCAATTAGCATAAGGCAACTTTTCATAACAAAGTTC